TTCTGCTATATCTACATAAAGAAAATACCTCCTTGCTGGTAAGTGGATACAGAGTCCAGCACTGCTCAGGCCATCAATGATATAACAAGGGTGATTTTTTTTTTAAGAGCACATTTCTCCATTAGCATTTTCTGTGCCATTATCACATCAACTCTAAACTTACACCAGTATTATTGGTAAGCATATTAGACAAACCAGCAGAAGAGACAAACAGACTCTGCACGCATGACCTCCCAAGTCAGAGGGCTCCTCCCATTCCAGACTCTGACTGCACTTCCCTTTGCAGTAAATGAAACTTCGAGAACAAATTATATCTTTATTGCAGTGACATACCTAAGTGCCATTTTAGCCAGGGGACAAAGAAACCAAAGGTGACCTTTTGTGACACTCTTGAAGCAGTCCTCCTGGAGATCAGGGCTGCTTCTTGTTCAAGCTGTTTGCATCAAGAGGCCAGTGAGGGAAACACACTTATCACCACAGGAGGTGACTTCAGGAGCTTAGCACACATATGTGAAATCCTAGCTATCTTCTCCCTGGCTTTCCAAAATGCTAAGAGATACAAATGCATTATCTTAGGAAGCAATTTAAAGATAAAAACATGTTTCTTGAAAAACTGTGCCTTTGGTCATTGGGTTTTGTGGAAAAGTATCTTGAGATATTCCTACTGGAGGGACTATATTCTGGTGGCAAATGTAACCACAGAGTTCCTTTCTTCAAATGGAATATCAAAATGGTGAGATTGGCTTTAACTACACCATCAGCATGAGGAGTGGGGAAAGGGTCTTTTAACTCTCTAATTCATGAAATAACTTAATTTGTGGTAGACATGAGAAGACTATTAGCCAAGCACAGAGAAAAAAAAAAGTGTATGTCCAGGAGAAAGGGAGGAGGAGGAAATTCCTATTATGTCTTTGTCAAGTTATCAGACATAAGTAGAGCTATTTTATGCAAATGTAATGTAAGCCATTTGATAAGGTTATTTAAAATTGTTATTAAGGCACATTAAAACAAATTAAAAGTTAATAGGCAAAATTCACCCAAACCAGTTTAATCTAAAATGTTATCATTTTACTATACAAACTAAAATTAGGAGCAAATTTGTTTTTTGTATGTGGGTTGCCAGGTATTTAAAGTTTAGGGTGTTTTAAAATTTAGGGTGTTTTACAAATTCTCTATAGGTCCACCTCTTTTCAAGTACTCCAGAGCCACATATGGCTCTATAATCTCTGTATTTTCTTCATAGAACTTATCAATATCTGGAATGGTCTTTAAAATAGATTTATTACTATTATTTGTGTACAAGCATCATGTATACATATGGTTATGTGGGTCACAGTATGTGTGTGGAGCCCAGAGGACAACTTTGTGGAGTTGGTTCTTTCCTCTATATTTCCTGGGTTTCATCGATAGAACTCAGGTCTCCAGGCCTTGGTGACAAGTGTCTTTACCCATGGGGCCATCTTACCAGACCTTGAATGTTCACCTACCTGCTAACACCATTGTTCCTTACCTAGAAGCTATATACAAGCTATCTAGATTTCTCCTTTTTCCTCCATTGTATAACCAACTACTCAACACACAGCAGAGTGCAGATGAATAAATGAATGGATGAATCCTTAACACAGGAAGCAAATGTAAATAGTGTCTTGATGCAAAAACTATTAGAAAATGAAATTCCCAGCGTTCTTTAGAGGAGAAAGGATTGCCCAGGATGGAAGAGACAGCCTGCCGGCCCCAGCTTCATCTGCTGATACCACGTATCACTTTTCTGAAATTTACCAGCTGGGGTTGGTAAGAATCAGGAAAACTACTATCCACAAGTGGTATGTTGTTGCTACAAGCTAATATGCGCCACAAGTAAAGTATCTTCTCACCTTCCTTAAAACCATCCACCGCAAAGTGGTCATCCCTGCCCTTGAGACTAGTCCTAGTCCAGCTGGCATGATGCAATTTCTGATATCTGGAAGGCTGGAAGCACTGGGTAATGGAAAAAGAATAGATGACAAAGTCAGATGGATTTCGGCTTCTACCCCAAACTGTGAGGGCTGAGAATATTAGGTAAATGTTTCTATCCCTCATTTTCCTTATCTGTAAAACCTTATGTGATAACTCATGCCTTCAGCATTTCTGTGAGAATTAGTTGAGGATCTGTATGGACTACATTGCACTGTAAAGGTTCAGCGAAAGGTATCAATATTACCATCTTTGCACTCAAGTACTCTAAAAAATACGCTGCTCACCAAGCTTTCCTACTTTGTTCACATGCAATTTCCTTCTCTTTAAGGTTTGATATTTTTCTTCTATTTGATCCTGAGAGGTCAGGGGGTGGGGGAGCCTCTAAGTTGAGTTGAAATCTTTACTTGTACGAAACAATGAAAGATAGCAATAAAGACATTTATCGCTACAGAGATAATTTGTAGTGTATTTGGAGATAGATCTGGGGACATTTCTGGTTTCATACTCAACTGCTTGCAGCTATAGGCACAGATAGCTATTTTGTATTCAAAATTATGGGCCAGAAAGAAACAGAAGGTCTGAGAATCCAGGCCAATCTGGAAGTATTTTATTTGTTGCCAATACACAGAGTTCTGCTTGACATAGCACAGTTGAGACAGTAAACTTGACCCTGAATTCTGAACCTCTCTCTCATCTTAGAGACTAATGAGCTGGTTTCACTCACTGTTCTGGTGGCACAAGCCTCATAGGAGAGACAGTGAGCTGCTCTAAAATGCATAGACCAGTGAGCACTTGTAATGTCACATTAAAATGAACAAGAACAGTTGATCACTGAGCATGGGTCACGAATGATATAAATAGTATTTCCATCTCCTCAACAACCACACAAGAGAAGCAGATTATTCCCCATCTTGCAGCTGGGAAGAGTGAGGCTCACAGGGAGCCAGTGACTTGTTGAAGTACAGCTGTAATTTGAAGTGCAGGCTCCCATTGAAGCTCTCAGGATCCAATGTCATGTGCTTTCTGCTACACAGCCCTGTGCTATTAGTAGAAAATTCGTTTCTACAGAGTGTGAGACCCTCTAGAGGTTTAAAGACAAAGTACATATGCCCAAAGGAATATTACCACTGAGCCACACTGTGGTTGTTTCCAAGCAAAGCCTTGGCCCTGCTCTCTGTCAGCCAGCCAGTTGGCCTAAAGGACATTGGTTCATGTGGACACTGACCCGTTGTAGGCTGCTTTCCAGGGCTATTTGTGGACAGAGATCTCTAGGGCAGTGGTTCTCAACCTGTGGGTCAAACGACCCTTTCACAGGGGTCACATATCAGATATCCCACACATCAGATATTTACATGACAATTGAGAACTATTGAAATTACAGTTACGAAGTAGCGATGAAAATAATTTATGGTTGGAGGGTCACCATGACACAAGGAACTATATTAAAGGGTTACAGCATTAGGAAGTCTGAGAAGCACTGCTCTAGGTGGTGGTGCACACCTTTAATCCCTGCACCTGGGAGGCAGAGGCACATAGATGAATCTCTATGAGTTTGAAGCCACCCTGTCCTGAAAACAACAACAAGAAAAATAAATAAAAAATAAGAGTTGAGAGGAGGGTCCCTCTGGAAGCATATAGACTGAGGAAGCCACTGAGGACACACACTGTCTAAACACCCTAGGAAGGAGGACTCTCTCTCCCAGCAGCACCTCAGACTCTGCCAATGCTACCAAATATCCTCATAACCAGCACAGCCACCAGCAAAACTTGTCCTGATGCAGCATCCTTTAAGACAAGACAAGGGATTTTCAGGTATGGTCAACATGGAGTGTTCCTGTAAAATTCCTCATCTATTCCTGAAGCATAGTTTCCACACTGGGTAAATGACTCAACCAATTCTCAAAAGCACCCCTACTTTGAAAAAGCCACTGAAATTAACGCCCCCCCAAAACCTAAAATGTTCCTGTTTCCGGAACGTTCTGCACCTCTATTCCATTAAGAACTTACATAAAGAATTACCAATTTCCCTAAATTTTGTAGAGTAAACTGAGGCCAAGGGAAGGTAAACACCTTCTAACAGAGGCAGAGAAACGATTGGTCAGGACACTCAGGTGGGAAATCTTTTCCAGCCAATTCCATGAATGAAGATTAAAGGATGCTCCCACCCGCGTGAGATTAATAACAGGTTGCAAACATTTTCAAGCTCAACCACAGAAAAACCCAAGTTGCTGGTTATTAGGGAAACACGGGTTGCTTCCTGGCCACACAGGTAGAGGTCACTAACAGGATATTTTTCTACACAAAAGCCACATCTACAGCCCTTACCTTCCCCAACTTCAGCAGTCACAGTCTGAGTTCCTGAAGTCTAACCCCCTTCTATGCTCCCTGGTCTCCTGTTCTCTACTCCAGCAGCACGTTCTTGCTTCTACCCCCAGGGCTTGAATTCCTAGCTCCTGGCCAGCAGGTTAAGACTGGGAGACCTTCCCTGCCACTGTTCAGCTGCCCTTGGGGATTGTATGTGTGCGCCCGGGGTGGGGGTGGGAGGGAGGCTCAGGTAACTCAGTGTCCACATCTGGCACCCATCTGTGCTGCCCACGGGAGGCTGCCCAAGTTAGCTGCCGTCGCGTCCCCTGACTGATCCCTTTCCACCTCCCTGGTCTCTCTCTAGCTTTTCATTTTTGACACAAACCACCTGCAAACCCCAGAATCCTACAATCACGCTACATTCGTTCTCAAGGGCGCACTTGAAGGTATGTTTTAAAATATGCCGAGCGCAGCTGTAAAACCTGGGGTGCGTGGTCGAGCACCTTGGCATCTATTTAGCTTCTCTGAAGAGGGGCAACGAGGTTTGGCTCTGAGCATGGTCACAGCACGGGATGGGATTTCCTCAAGCCCGCGGGCTCTGGCTACTGCCTGGCATTTTCCCAAGCAGTCTGCGCCTGCAGCCAACTGCTCTGCTCCCACACGCGGCCTCGAACCCGCGGCCCTAGAGAGCGCCCGCCCGCGCCGCCCCTGGCCGCGCGCAGTCTGCCCTGGGTACTCACTTTTGCCGGGGAGAAAAGTCTGCCATACCAGGCGGTGAGTACTTCCTGCAAAGGACGCGAGCTTTCTCACTGCAGGTAAAGCTGTTTCCTGAGCCCTGGGTAAAATCCAGAACGCAGAAGAGCGAGTAAGACAGAACAGGGAGGAGGGGAAAGCCCAGCCCAGAAGACCCGGCGTCTGGGGATTTTAGCCTCTGCTCCGCAGTCGCCAGCCGCGTGTCTCTGTGAAGAAGCTCAACTCGGTGCACTTGTTCACTCTTTCTTCACTAGAGGAGGAGTCAGTGTTGCAACATGCATGTTTCTTGCTGGAGGCAAAACAGTGATTTTCTCCAGCATGCAAAAGGTCCAGAGCCTGCCAATTTTACAAGGTGACGGAGGTAGTTGGGAGAGTCGGAATGCAGAGAATAGGTGGACAAGAAAATTTCTGATTTCCCCTGGATCCGTTTTGCATGATCAAGGGACCCTCTTCCACCAAGACTCGACAAAACAATAATAAAAAATGCCCTTTAAGTCGAGTGACCTCAGAGATGATATTTCAGTAGCCAAGATGATGCTTGGTGTCAAATTTCTTTCCTTATTTCCCAGCAAGCAGCACTGAGCTGCAGCTTGACAATCCTTGAGGGGGCTCCGGGGATTTGAGTCACACCTTCCCTGAGAAGGGGGAGGAGTCGGAGAAAAGTGGTCAACAAAGAATATGCAGTGACCCGAAGAGGCTTTGCTTTCTTTTTCAACACAGCAAAACTTCCAGGGCTCCTCTTGGTGCCCAGCCACGTCACAATAGTACAGAAACACCCGCAGCCTCTCAGCAACTCACGATTAATGCAGAATGTACCTCCTCAAATGGGCTGTGAGAGCTGAATGTTATTTTATTGCTTTTGGTATTAACCAAACAACTGCTTTTTCTCTTGTACCCCTCCCCATAGTCTCCTAAAAAATATTAAAAACAAATAGCAACAGCTGCTTGAGTTAAACAATTATCTCAGAACAGGTGAGTGGGCAGTGTTTGATGGCACAGATTAATATTGTGTCCTATTGTGATGTAACTCAGAGGGTCACTGAATAAGCTATTGAGGGCTTTTATTTTTAAATCATAGTAACATGTCCTTTCTTCATTGAATTGATTGACACTTTGCAATACCTGGCAGATGACATTCAGCAGTGGCTTTCTGCCACGGTTCAGGGAACCACTGAAGTCCCATGATGTTTGGGTGATCCTCTTGCATTAGAAGAGGCACCTGTATGGGCTCCATCTTTGCTACCCAGTAACTCCTCCTGTACAAGTTAAATCATGGTCTCCATCTGGTTTTCAGAACAAGTGGGGAGTGCATCTGCCATGCACACGCTGTACAGGCTTCTGGTGACTGAGGTGCACTTTTGCTCACAAGTCCCAGAGTATATAATACCTGTCTATTTTCAAAACTAATGGGTATTATCTCCAATGGCAGAAGACAGTCAGACTTACTGGCCAAGTTATGTCCCAATGAAACCATTGTTGTTGAAGGTGTTTTAAGTAAAAAATGAAACAGAATTGAATAAGGACCCTGGCTGAACCAAGTAGTCTAGCCTGGTCTTGCTTGAATTTAGACAAAATCATCTAATACAAAGCTTAACTCAACAGGATGCTTGTATAGGTATATCACTAAAATGTTAAAAACATCTTGAACCACCATAAGTTGGTAATTATATTTCTGTATGATGTTTAAAAAGTCAAGGGGGATTACTCAGTGTAGTCTTCCTGATCATTGGATTTCAACAGATAATGAAAAGAGAATTGCCTTTGGCAACTCCAAACTGTGAGCTTTCCTTGTGGTTGCACACATTTGTGCTCCTGCTCCACCGCACAGGTTAAATGACTAATCTGAATACTATTTGGAGAGAAGGTCAGGGCTCTCTGCTATGCTGTGCAGCATATACACGGTCCCCAAGCCACAGTCATTTGCAGTCAGTGAAGTTCCTTGTGCTCTCTCTTGTGTTACTGAGAGGATGAAGGAAGTCATGTGTAAGTCTTGCTTTCCTGTCTCCTCTGCAGCTATACTGTGACTCTTTCCTTAATTGCCCACTGACACAATTCGCCATTTCCTGGTGTTCTCCTTTTCACTTAGATCTGTATCTGCCTCAGTGTGTAGATGCCTATCTATCTATCTATCTATCTATCTATCTATCTATCTATCTATCTATTTATTATTGTGGTACATCCATCTGTGGCTTGGACTCTGTATCTGCTTGATGCCTAAAAGACTTTGGTCCACAGTTCAAGATATGGAGAGAACACAGGAACTGGCAATGGTTTGGATATTGCTATTTGTTTGACTTCTGTGAGCCTCACCTATTGTAACTCAGGCACAGTAGCATATGCATCAAAAACCCAATAAGGGGAAAGTAATGCCAACAGAATGTGTAAAATGCCAGCATTGATAATAAAAGCCTTATGGTAGTAAGTTTTGGGGTTTGTCTTGTTTTTGCCTGCCTGTTTTCTAGCTAATTTTCCTTCAATATTTTCTCCCTTGTCCCTTTGGTTTCATTCCACAGCTTCTACATGTCTTTCTTGGCCCAGCTACACTTTGGATGAGCTTACAACCTAATTCACCCCTCATGGAGAAGTGGTGGCACATGCCTTTAATTCGAGCATTTGGGAGGCAGAGGCAGGCAGATCTCTGTGAGTTCAAGGTCATCCTGGTCTACAAAGTGAGTTCCAAGACAGGCAGGGAGGTTACACAGAGAGACCATGTCTGGAAAAACAAAACAAAACAAAGCAACAACAACAACAAACCCCACATAATTCACCCCTTTCTTCATTTTCAAACTCAGGAAAGCAATCCACAGTCCTCAGCTTTCTTGACTTCCTTTCGTTTGATTTGTTGTTTCTTAACCTTGACGGCAGACCAGCAGCACCCAACAAGTGTTGTCTTACTTTAGGTTTCTGTTACTGCAATGAAATACCAAGACAAAAGGCAAGTTTGGGAGGGGGTTTGGTTTACACTTCAGCATTGTTGTTCATCACTAAAGGAAGTCAGGACAGGAACTGAAGGCAGAGCAGGATACCAGAGGCAGAAGCAGATGCAGAGGCTATGGAGGGTAGCTGCTTAGTGACTTGTTTCCCATGGCTTGCTCAACCTGCTTTATTATGGAACCCAGGTCCACCAGCCCAAGGATGGCACCACTCACCTTGGGCTGGGCCTTCCACCACTGATCACTATTTGAGAAAATGCCTTACAGCTGGATCTCATGGAGGCATTTTCTCAACTGAGGCTCCTTCCTCTCTGATGACTCTAGCTTGTGTCAAGTTGACACAGAAAAACAGCCAGTACAAGTGTACATATGTCAGTGTCTAAGTGCCCCTTAAAAAATTTCTAATATAAGAGGTTTAAGGTGAGTTTTCTATTCCTACCAAAAGCATCAAGTGTACTATTTAGTTCATTATTTTGTTCTTTGTCTTCTGCTGTGGCTATCCATCAGCTGCTCCCTGGCCAGGCTTATCTTAGCCTTTCTCCAGCTCTGTTTCCTACACCCCCTCATCTATGAGCTCTCCTCTATTACCCTTAAAGCCCTGCATTCCTACTTCGCTGTCTCTCTGTGTTGGTTTCTGTCACAGAACCTCCTCTTTCTCCTCTGCCTGAAATGGTGACACTTTTGTCTCTAGTCCTCCACTTTCAAGATCACTTTCCTTTCTTTAACACAATAGAAAATGCTAGAACTATCACAAGAGTGAAAAGAAAAACCACACACAATCCTGGTACTGTTAACAAAATGAAACAAAGTTGTATATCTGTATTTGTAAAGTTAAAAAAAAAAAGGATCCTTCCAAATCATATACCCTCTTTGTTTGTCCTAGTTCCATCTCCAAAGGAACCCGCCACTGACACATGAACGCACATCTGTTCTTTTTCCAGTGTATATAGTTATTTATTCATCTATAGGCACTTGCATATATTTTTAAACTAAAAATGAATTTATTTTCATGGCTTGTCTTTTTTTGGTTTAACAATATAAGAGAAAAAAAAAAAACTTTCTGTCCCCTCTTTGGCAATGTCTCCTGAGTCTCAGGTGAGGGTGTTGTTTTGTAGATATGCTCATTTGGACTGGACTCTACAACTCTGCATTGTGATTGGTGGTGGTTTACTGTAATGGCCTCTGTCTGTTGCAAAGAGAAGTTTCCTTGGCAAGGACAAGGGCAATAGCAGAAATCCCATGGGGCCTTAGTACCACACAAAGTACTAAGGGAGTTTTCTGTGAGAATTTGTCTTCTAGTAATGTCAGAAGCTACACCCCTAAAGTCTCACCTATACGACTGCCTAAATGAGAGCTGATCAAAGGCAATAATAGACATGCTAACAAAGACAGGGTTGGATGGGGTATCCCACAAGGTCTCAGGCCTACACAAAGTACTACAGGCAGGGGAAGAATATGCTGAGAGTGGGAGAAAGGGTCTTCCCCAGGGAAGAGCACACCAATTGGTTATCCAGTACCATATGGCCATCCCCCAAAACCCATACATGTAACATTGTAAAGACTGAGCAGGTTGCATTTATGTATTTAGGGGTGTGCGTGCGTGCGTGCGTGTGTGTGTGTGTGTGTGTGTGTGTGTGTGTTTGTGTGTGTGTGTGTGTGTGTGTAACAACAGTCAATGAAAAGGAGGCCATGAACATGGCAGAGAGAAAAGAGGGTTGTATGGGAGAGTTTGGAGGGAAGACTTAGAAAGGGGAAAAGAATTAATTATATTGTAATTTCAAAAATAAAGCTGTATTCTCCTGGAGATTAAACTAAGGGCACAGACATGCTAGGCAATCACTCTACCATTGAGTTGCACCCCCAGCCCCACAGCTTGTCTTTCAAAGCTCAATACAATTACCTAGTTGAGGCTGCTGTCCAGAGGCTCACTCCAGGGTTGTTTTTTTGAAGTTAACTTTCAAGCCTCTAAGCTTTCTTTCTTTTCATTTTATGTAGAGGAGTGTTTTGCCTACATGTGTAAATGTGTACCATGTGTGTGCCTGGCACCAGAAAAGGCCAGGAGAGGGTGTTGGGTCCTCTGGGACTGGAGTTACAGATAGCTGTGAGAACTACCATGTGGGTCCTGAGGACAGAACCCAGGTCCTCTCCAAGAGCAATGTGTGCTCTTAACCACTGAGTCATCCCTCCAGCCCTCAACATCAGTGATTTTAGTGGCTGTCTAGTTTTTAATTTATTTCCTCCATTCTTCTCGTTATATTTTTGGTGATTAAATTTTTTATTGTAAAAAATGCTGTTAAGATTATCTTTGGATAGGGCAGACATTTAGAAATGTCAGAATTTGAACAAAGGGAATAGCTACAAAAATCAGAAAGGCTACTAAATTTCTCTTACATAATGTTATAAGCAAATGTTTTAAGCATGAAATCACTGAGTCATAGAGTCAGGGCACTTAAAAATATAACATACCTGTTAATTCTTTAATTTCATGCATATGCACAATGTATTTTGATCATATTCACCACCCTCTGCTCCTCCTAAATCCATTCCAACCTCACAAATTTGTGTGTTTCTTTTTTTTTCAATATCCTACCAAGTACAGTTTGTGCTGTGTATAGTTATGGGTATGGGACCACCCAATGGCTCTTGGTCCTCCTCCCAGGGGACAC